GTAAAAATATGTTAAAAAAAAAAAAAAAAAAAATCAGAACTTAAAATTCCCAGCCTCCTCTACAACTAGGGACATAGCATATTATTCTATCTCTAACATACAAACCTTCGAGAGACCTTTATTTGGAAGTAAGCAATGAGTAGAACTTCCGTTTTTGCTCAAGCTCAAGGCAGGAGATACATTTGTCTTTTAATGGAGGCAGCAGCAGCAATGTTAGCCATTTCCGGGTAGTTACAATGTGAGGTTCCTATTGCTGCAAGAGCACCAGAGCTAGTAGTAGTAGCACCTGCAATAAAGATGAGAACCTATGACATTTAGGGTTCAGCATTAGTAGCTTTCCCAAACTTAGTTTTGCCGTATAGTTTTGGGAAATGTTCCCAGAAGCCTGGACTCGAGTATCTCTAGCACTCTCCAATGACTCTGACCTATCTAATATTCTTTAATAATTCCCTACTCTGCTTACAATAGCCAGGGCAGGTTGTTTTTATAATAGAGCTATATTTTATAATACTTGTATTATTCCCACTCTACATATAAAAAATCTGAGATTGAAGATGGCTAAGTAATCTGCTAATATCAGGGTTTTTAGATTTGAAAGCTTATTTCCCTAATTTTATATTATACTGTTAATTACTTAAATAGTTCAGGGCAGTGTCATCCTGTTCTAAAACAGGAGTTGGCAAACTATGGCCCATGGGCCAAATCCAACCTGCTTTTTACATTTTTAAATGGTGGGATGGCAGGAAATGTAAAAATTACATAACCTTCAAATTTCGATGTCTTATCATATCTAAAATTTTACTGGAACACAGCCATGCCCATTCATTTAAATACTGGCTGGGGTTGGTTTCCCACTACAACAAGCAAACTTGAATAGTTGCCTAAAATATTTACTACCTGACTCTTTAGAGAAAGAGTATGCCAATTTGTGCTCTAAAATTATTCTAAAATAACTGAAGAAATGCCAATATAAACAAATTTTGAAGTAGGTATATATGTGTTTCTATCATTCTTGATCACCTACTTCAAGAACATGAGACATGTAGCAAAGCACGATCTGCCCCACAGATAAAGTTAAACCAGAAGGTCCCACTTTTTTCTCACCTACCTGTGCTTCTATAGCAAAGGAAAACATATCAAACTAAAAGTTAGTGTCAAAAAGGGTAATTTTCAGGAAAATCAGGGTGCTGGTAACCAAGAGCCAAATGTACCTGACTATTCATCTCTAGAAACTAAAAAAGTCAACAGTAAAAAAAATATTTTAAAAACAACTGACACTGAGTTTTTAAGGGGGGTTGGGGCAGAATTCAAGAATACAGTGGAGGAGGGACAATCAACATAGTGTCCATCAAAGGATTTGATATTTTAGCAGGAGACAGAGTCCTCAATTCTTTAAAACGAAGCAAAATGAGCCAAAAGAAAAGGAAACTCACTAGTAAATGAGACGCACAAGTAGCTGCTAAGAAAAGCCCATCACAGAGTGCCTTTTATGCGTGCCAAAATCCAGAGCCCAAAAGTCACCAGGTCACTAAAATTGAAAACTGACTAGTCCCTGATTCTTCCTATTTCAGCAACTACAAACTGAGTTAGCTAGCAAAAATCCATGTCTCTTTGAAATATACAGATTCAAACACTGTTTTTCTCCATCATGTAGTTTAATAATGTTCTAGGAAATTTTTTTCCCATTTGTTGGTAGTATTCTCAGCTCTTACTATCTCCAAATCCCAAAATGACTTTTCTGTATGGATTAAAAAATGTAAGTCATATGTAACCCTATGCTCAAGTGCCATGAAGGCCACTAACAGAAAGTAATTATCTAAGGACTCTGTGACATAATCCCAGCTAAGATAGGCTGAGAACAGAGCAGAGGGAGGCATTCTTAACTAAGGAGAAATACAATGTTTTTCATTTACCTTCATTTAAAAATCAGATCACAAACCGGAACCACTTGTGAGAATCTGTAAGATCTGACCTCAACATATAATAACACAAGTCCACCACTGATGAAAGGTTTGGAATGTGAGTTGGTTGTTAAGAACTTAAAGCTCAATCTCTCCTGGAAATAAGGTTATATATAATGTATTTGTTTCTAAGATAGCTCAGAAAAGATAATAAACATACAAAAAAACATAGGATCACAGAATATGATAAATGCTAATTAAAGCTGCTGTTTGATGCCTGTATTTTATTTTACAGATTAATGCAGCTCTGGTGAAGAGAAAGAATGATGGTGCACTTGCCCAGTATCACCACAGTATATAAAATCAAAGCTCAGAAGAGAGCCAGATCTCTTTAAACCACATGCTTTCGGATTACACCTTCTCTACTTACGAAGTATCTTTTAAGTATAGATGCCCCAATATAGCTTAACTTTAACAGTGTATATCAGAGGCAATATTAAAAAAACAGTTGCATGAGATTCTGTTAGTGATGGTGGCTTATGTAATTAAATAGTAAATAGGCCAAGTGTGAAACCAGCTGTATTCCAGAATACCTGCAGTGTATCAGCTGGTAAAATCTCAGTAATTGTTCACCACCCAAAAGTAACAGAAGTTTTCTCACTAGATATAGTACTCTTTTTTCCTAAATACTGCTAAATATAATTTATTCCAAGCTGATTCAGATTAATAACAGTGTGAGGGAATTTCAGGAATAAATTAAAGACAATTGTAACAAATTAAAAGTTTTGTTAAGTCTACTCAATTGACCTGGCAGTGTTGCAAAACTACTTCCAAGATGCTCCCAGCTGTCACCCTTCTCTTTCAGTCTACAGGACTTTGCTGTTATACCCACTCTGAATCATGCATGTTACCTTTCAATCCCAGACCACCGTCCCTCCTCTCTTTGGTTTCTCCAGAGCCAAATGACAAATTTTAGCGCCACTCTAAGTTTTTGCAGAAAGCTGCTGTATCCATAGTTATTTCCTTCACCTACTCAGACAAGGTTCCACATATTTCTATGTATTTTATTTTCTATGTAGGTCTCTCTAGCCCTCATTCATAGAGCTTCCTCAGAGTTTGACAACCCAATTACTTTGCTCTTGACTAGCCCTAAGTGAATTATTGCATCCATCTCCCTCTGTCCTTTTTTCCATTTTCCACACAGCTTTCCTAAAAATCTCTTTAGCTCTTGCTCTTCGCTATTACTTCTCTCACATTTCTATTCAGCTGACACTACCGTGGCAGATCCACACTGCTTAAAGACTGGTTTGCAAACAAGGTGTGTATCATTATTACATTTTACGGATCCAGAGAAAACTAAATAGCCCTGCCCAGTGCCTCATATTTGATTAATGGAAAGTCAAGACTTAATACAGTAGAGTAATTCTTCACCAAGAATTCATCTTACCTGTAATTTTTCTAAAAAAAAAAAAAATTGTTTGAAAAATAATTTAGAGGGCATATAAGAATGAATAGAGCAATATGAACTAATTAAAAATTTTAAACTAATGTATAACATAAATAAGAACAGAAAAGTAAATGAAAGTAGTAATAAAGCTAGTGCTTTATTATTTTAACAAAAATACTTGTTAAAATCTTCAGTTTTCCCAAAGATAATATACAAATAGCCAATAAGCACATAAAAAGATGTTCAACCTCATTAGGTATTAGGGAACCGCAAATCAAAACCACAGTCACATACCATTCTTCACACCCCTTAGGGATGACTATTATCAAATAAATGGAAAATAAATCTGTGCATCAAAGTACACGATCAACAGAGTAAAAAGGCATCCTAAGGAATAGGAGAAAATATTTGCAAAATATTTTTCCCTACAGGCCCACAGTTTCTAACTAGGCCACTGAGGAACCCTGGAGTGCTACAGTGAACTCACAAGGGCAACAAAAAATATTTTAAATTTGAGGAGAAAACAGTGATACCCAACATCTATCAGAAATCACAAGTATTCTGTACACTTTAAATTGATTTTTAGAAGTAGTTAGGTTATTTTTTAAAACAGAGAGAAAAAAACCCATAGTAATCTGTGTGACAATAACAAGCAGTCAAAACATATGTTTAATTGAAGTTACTGAAGGAGGAAAAAATATTAAAAGTTCTATTGAAGTATAAATATACAAATCTAAGAAGCTAAACAAAATTCAAGCAAATTATGCCTGGCCGGCATGGCTCAGCGGTTGAGCATCGACCTAGGATCCAGTAGATTGAGGTTCAATTCCCAGTCAGGGCACATGCCCGGGTTGCGGCCTCCATCCCCCGTGGGGGCCATGCAGGAGGTAGCCGATCAATGACTCTCTCATCATTGATGTTTCTTTCTCTCTCGCTCCCTCCCCCTCCCTCCCCCCTCCCTCCCTCTCTCTGAAATCAATAAAGACATATTTTTTAAAAAGAGAACCTCATTCTGTTTGGAAAAAAAAAAATCCAAGCAAAATAAACAGAAAACTATACATACTATAATCAAATTGCTGAAAATCAGTGCTAAAGAGAGAAATAAAAGCAGCCAGAAAAAGTTAAATATATAGAGACCAAAAAAATCTATAGGCTTATCAGAAACAATGAAAGCAAGAAGATAATGGAAAGTCTCTTTAAAGTACTCAAATACTCCTGCAAAAAAAAAAAAAAAGGTACTCAAATAAAAAGGTGACAACACAGAATTCTATATCCAGTGAAAATAGCCTTCAAAAATAAAAGTGAAATAAAGACTTTATCACACAAACTAAAGTTGTTGGAAATCCTCGCCAACAAAATAGTGGAAATGTTGAAGGAAGTTCTTAAGCAGAAAGAACATACAAACAGGTAAAAACTTTCAATCTTCTCAAAAGAACGAAGAGCACCAGAACTTGTAAATATACATACTAATACAAAGCACTTTTCTCTTTATTTTAAAAATCCCTCTGAAAAGGAAAGTAACTGTTTAAAGCAAAAAAAATACTATATTCTCAAGTTTACAATATCTACAGAAATAAAATATATAACAAAAGTAGTGCAAAAACAGAAAAGGAACAGACTATCGTAAGTAACATTATATGGGAAGTGCTATACTACTACTTGAACATAGGCTGTGAAAGTATGCAAAAAGTAAACTGTAGGGTAACAACTAAAAAAGTAAACAAAGGTATAACTAAAAAGAAATAACAGGGAAAAAAAACAACAGAATGCTAAAATATTACTAAATCAGAAAGAAAGCAAAATTTTTTTAAATGAGACAATAGCAAGGTGGCATCCTTAAATTCAGCCACATCTACATCCAACTTAAAGACAAATTGTCAACCCAGGTTTTTTAAAAAAGGAAAGGAAGCGGCCCTGGCCAGGTGGTTCAGCTGGCTG